TAAAGGGCGGTCTGGCAGTTGCAAAAGCGGGTTCAGTAGTTGTAAAGGGCGGTCCGATAGTTGCAAAAGGCGATTCGACAGTTGCAAAGGGCGGTCCAGCACTTATGCACTCTCGCAATGTGATGGTGCGCTCTCGCAATATACTACTGGGGTTAAAAAGTCAACATCAAATCTGTCCAAACTGATTTTTGTGTATGAGAAGGGCATTTTCATCAAAAAAATGAATTTTTCCTGTAAGGACCGCAATTCGATTGCATTAGACCACTCGCGGCAGTAGAGAGAGAGAATGGAGTCGAGAAAGACGGAAGCGCACGACCGGCGCTAAGGACAAACGTTGGCGCTAAGGACAAACGTTAGCGCCATTTGGGTGTTTGGACCTAGTGTATTCCATGTAGCATGGAAGCTATCGCCTCGCGTAAGAGTAAAGAATGATAATGCCGCATGCGAGTAAGGGGTATCGCCGCGAGCATGAGAGGAGTACAGTCGCGCGTGAAAGGCGTAAGAAACATCGCCGTGAGTAAAGGAGATTAACACCACGCGTGAAACAAGGTATCGTCGACTAGAGCATCGCCGCGAGCTTATCGCCGCCTGGATTAAGGACGCGGCAGAGAGGAGAGGGAGAGAGGCAGGCTATCGCCACGCGGAAGGTGGAAGGCTATTGCCGCGTGGAAGGTAGAGCATCGCCACATGAAGAGGAGGATATCGCCTCACGCGTTAAGCATTGAACGATGACCGATAGGGTCAGCCCGCTGTTGTCAGAAACACGCCGCTTGGCTGACGCCCGCTACAGTTTTCTTCCCCACCAATCGTGATGTCCGCCACAGTGAGCTTCACCAACTCCCACCAACCCTCACCTACTCCCACCAACCTTCACCTAGCCCCATGTCTTTAAATAGCGCCCTCTACCCATCGTCGTGCTCGTGCCTACACCATAGCTGTGGGAGTGCTATCGCCGTGAGGAGGCCTCTGGGACAAAGGCGACTGCGTAAAGCTGCCGTGAGAAGCACCAAGGGCCGCAGGCGAACTGCGTGAAGGGAGTGGGGAGCACCGTGAGCCTGTAAGTGGGTTTAGTGCTATGTTCTCCAGCTTAATTGGAACTAATGGAACAGTGTCAATAGGAAAAATGATGGGGAATGAATGAAATAGGGTAAAATAAATGGTTGAGAATAAAATGAAATTTTTAAAGAAATCATAGGGCTTTTTCTTGCCAAACTTGCAAGCTTATCCAATGAGATTTAAGTTGATTCATAAGTAAGTAACACGGCGATGACATATAGAATTTCCAGCAAAAGTTAGGGTTGTTGCTCGGTGCTTTTCACTAGCCAAACGGCACTCGCTTGGGCACAAATCAGTTTCAACGAAAGATGTACAGGTCTAGTTAAAGTTTGCCTCTTGCACCATGTTATAATATCATGAAAATCAAGAGATATGGCCCCTTATGCAAGAAATGTCACTGCCACAGTTGTTGTAAACTTTCAGCAACTGTGAACCTGCTTGGGCCGCATTTTCGACCAGGTGAGCGACGTCTAGATGCCCCAAATCTGCCATCGATGTAAAGTTTTGTGAATGAATGTAAAGTTGCATGTTTTGAGATTCTTGAAATTCCTTATAAATGTTGAGTTATGTTTGAAAATGCATAGACACGTCATTACTCATTACTAGTGCTCATTTGAGGCCGCACCTTGATCTTGCGAATAAAGTTTGATTTTCTCAATAAGTGAAGTATCTAACTTTCTTGCTTAGTTACTAAGATGTATTGATCAAGTAATGAGTGTGAATACCACATGATAATTGCCATGTATATGCTATGGGAATATCGGAATAATGCCACTTAACAAAGTGTTAGGTGAAGAGTAAACAACACACTACTGATATGACTGATTCATGATGAATGTTCCTTGATAATTATCAAAATGCCATTGATAATGCTCATGTATGAATGTGATGCTATTAATCACGAAATAAATGCCCCGTGATGAATGTTATGCTATTATGATACTACTATGATGAGAATGTGATGTATATGCCATGAGGCAAATGAATTGACTGGTATGAATGGAATGGAATGAGGCCTTAATGATGACCACTATGCATTGGGATCCGAGCCCATGGGTAGTGCGTATTGTACTGTTTTATTGATGAAAACGCTAATTATTACGCATTGGGACCAAAGCCCATTGGTAGTGGATATTGTGCTGTTATATTGATGATAATGCTGACCACTATGCATTGGGACTTGAGCCCTTTGGTAGTGGATACTAGGATTAATGATGAGAACACTGGCCGCTACGCGGTGGGACCCAAGCCTATCGGTAGTGGAGCTAGATTCACCGAGATAGTGATGTCGGTGTATTCCCTAGCCTGCATAATGACAGGAACAGGTTGGGGAGAAAAGATGGTCGCTCCCTATGATTCATAATATGAGATATGAGATTTGATTTGATGCCTTGCAAGGTGACGACCTGTCGAACCCCCAATGCGCACTGAGGACCGTGTGCATGAGTTGAGGGTATTACAAAGAGGATTGCCCTGCTTGCCGTCACCCTCCCTCCTGTGGGATGGTAGAAGGACTAAGCAATGAGATTGGCTTAGCCTGATGGATATGGCTTCTACTAGTTGGAGTAGGTGAATTAAGGAGTGAGTATGAGATGTATATATTGGAATTATGATTTCTCTTGTATTGCCTACCTGGTGTTGCTTATGTTGGATGCACTTTTTTATTATATATCTTGTTATAACGGCTGCATTGATTTGATAACCAATCTGTTCGACTACTGCACTATTATAAATGATGATTAATGACACTATTCCTTGCACCTGAGTATGTTTAATACCCATGCATAACACTAGATCTACTTACTAAGCTTCAAAGCTCATTCCACTACATGTTTCTCCCTGTAGATTGAAAGCAACAGGTTACAAGTCAGAGGTGTGGGTTGCAGCTGAAGACTGAAGTAGCTACTTTTTGAAGAAGCTCTTGAATCTTGTATGTTTTGGGCCCTCAGCCCTGCTTAGATTGTTCTTAGAGATTTTGTAATTATGGGCCTTGGAGCCTTGAACTTGATTGTATCACATTTTGAATTATAATATAATGTAATATCTTTTTCAGAAATGGGCTTGTTAAGTTTTAATTTATAGTTGTGTTCATTTCCTTGGTTTGTTGATTACCATATAGAGGCGTTAAATTTACCCCCACCTGGATGGTAAATGCTACATTGGGATCACGAACTCATACCCGGTCGCCTTCTGTTGTGAAGGTTAGGTAGATGGGCGCGAGGTCGTGACGGTTATGGTATCAGAGCAGTCAGGATAGAGTCTTTGGCTTAGGGAGTTTAGGGGAGTCTTTAGAATGGCTTTGGGGTAGACAAGTGACTGGGTGCTCCTGTGGTTAGGTTGAAGATGTCAAGAGCTCGTACCCACAACGTGAGTTCCAGCAATGAGAACACCGAGGCACTCAGTAAATTCTATAGGACTCTGGGGGCCATGACCCAGATGATGCCAATTCAGTCCACCCCACCCCGGAGCAAGGCGATGGTATCTTGATTGAGAGGTTTTGAAGGCTAGTGCCCCCAACCTTTCTAGGGCAAGGAGCAGTAGAGAAGGCCAAAAGATGGAAGAGGCAAATAGAGAAGACTTTTGAAGTGTTGCACTGCTCAGATGAGCAGAAAGTTAGAATTCAGACATTCATGTTAGAAGGAGAACGCGAACACTGATGGAATTTGGTAAAGCAAACTTGGAGGGAGTTAGGGACTAAACCCACTTGGGAGAACTTTCTGGCAGCCTTTGATGAAAAATACTTTGCAGATTCATAGAGCTCTAGCAGGGAAACATAACTGTGGAGCAATATGCCACCAGGTTCGCAGAGCTCTCTAGGTACGCGCTCCATATTGTAAACATCGAGGTGCGGAAGGCGGCCAAGTTTGAAAAGGGCCTACGGCTGAACATAAAGGGTAGAGTGATGTCGGCCAACTTAAAGTCATACACCCCGATGGTAGACTTCACCCTGAAGATGAAAGAGACTGTGAGGACCATCGATCGAGGAAGGAAGGAAGAATGAAGGCTGAGTCATCGGGGAGGCTCGGGAAGACACCCCGACAAGTTTCAAGAAGAGAAGTGACAAGGAGGTCATATCAGCTAAACCTGAGAACCTAGAAGAATTCCCTGGGTAGCACGAGCAATGATTGACGCCCGGTTTGTACTCACTGTGGGAAGGACAACCACACTACCAAAGATTGTTACCGGAAGAAGAATGTGTGCCTAAGATGTGGCAAGCTGGGTCACTGGGCTAGGAACTGCCCTATGATGAATACCGAGGATCGCTCAAAGACTCAATGACGAGTGTTCCCCCTCACATAGCAAGAAGCCAAGGCGTCCACCTCGGTAATCCGAGGTACGCTCTCAATTTGTGATGCTAAAGCTAGAGCCTTAATTGACCCTGGATGTTCTCGCTCGTTTGTTGCACCCCATTTTTCTTACCATTTAAATGTTGTTCCTGCACACCTTAACTACACCTTGATGGTATGCACACCAGTGGGAGGCTCTATGGAGTCAGATAGAGTGTATAAGAAGTGTAAGATTTCAATTGATGGTTGTGATCTGCTAGTAGATCTAATTCACCTTGATATTCAAGACTTTGATGTCATCCTGGGCATGGATTGGCTATTTACATATCGTGCCACCGTCAACTGTCATAAGAAGACAGTGACCTTTAAACGTCCTAATCAAATAGAATTACACTTTGAGGGCATTAAAGATACTTCTCCTCTACATTTTATCTCTGCCCTCCGAGTCTCTCACCTCTTGGCTAAGAGATGTGTAGGGTATTTGTCCTATGTAGTAGAGAATAGGGGTGTTCTATCCCAGTTAGAAGGAATACTAGTAATAAAAGAGTACCCTGATGTATTCCCCAAAGAGTTGTCATCCCTAGCTCTAGTAAGAGAAATTGACTTTGAGATGGATGTAGACCTAGGCACTGCACCCATCTCCAAAGCCCATATAGAATGGCTCCAAAAGAGTTGAAGGAGTTGAAAGAGCAGTTACAAGAATTGTTGAATAAGGGGTTCATCCAACCCAGCGTGTCCCCTTGGGGTGCACCAGTCCTGTTTGTGAAGAAGAAGGATGGGTCCCTGAGGCTGTGTATTGACTATAGGCACTTGAACCAAGTGATGGTGAAGAATAAGTACCCTCTACCTAGAATTGACGACCTCTTTGATCAACTCTAGGGAGCCCAGGTGTTTTCTAATATCGATCTCCAATTAGGATATCAACAACTAAGGGTGAAGGAAGGAGACATCCCAAAGACTGCTTTTAAAATTCGATACGGTCAGTAGGAGTTCCTTGTGATGCCGTTCAGATTAACCAATGCCCCTACTGCATTCATGGATCTAATGAATAGGGTGTTCCGACGTTTTCTAGATAACTTTGTGGTGGTCTTTATTGATGATATTTTGGTATACTCAAAAAGCTGGGAGTTACATGAGCAGCATCTAAGATCTGTTTTGCAAAGTTTAAAGTAAAAAACGTTGTATGCCAAATTTTAGTAAAAGTGAGTTTTGGCTTCCCAACGTAACCTTCCTGGGTCACATTATTTCCCATGATGGGATCGTGGTCGACCCCTCCAAGGTTGAAGCCATACTTAGATGGGAGAGGCCAGCAAATGTGACTGAAGTTCGTAGTATCCTGGGGTTAACCAGATACCACAGGCACTTTGTAGAGGCATTCTCAAAGATGGTGCTTCCCTTAACTCGGCTAACCAAGAAGAGCGTAAAATTCATATGGTCAGAAGATTGTGAGAGAAGTTTTCGAGAACTTAAAAGGAGACTGACCACCTCCCCGATCCTGGCATTTCTCGAAGAAAATGAAGACTTCGTGATTTATACTGATGCATCTCATAAAGGGCTCGGGAGTATACTAATGCAGAGAGGTAAGGTTATTGCTTATGCCTCCAGGCAATTAAAGCCGCACTAGCAAAACTACCCTACTCACGATTTGGAACTCGCGACAGTAGTATTTGCACTAAAAATCTAGAGGCACTACCTCTATGGAGCCCAGTTTAAGGTGTTCATGGACCACAAGAGCCTCAAGTACCTGTTTTTCCAGAAAGAGTTGAACATGAGGCAAAGGAGATGGATGGACCTACTAAAGGACTATGACTGCACGATCGAATACCATCCAGGTAAGACTAATACAGTAGCCGACGCCTTCAGTAAGAAAACCGTGGTCTCCATGGCACAATTGATGGTGCGAGAAATGAAGTTGTTGGAGGATGTAATGGAATGCCACTCATCGCAACCTCTCGGTGAAGGGAGAGAAGTATTGTCATGTCTAAAGCCCCAACACTTCCAACTAGTCCAAGTAGCTTAGAAAGAATATCCCCATCTGATGAAAATCTTCGAAGAACAAAAAAGAAAAGAGGGTTTTTCTTTAGGCTGTGATGGACTGCTAAGGTTTAAGGGCCGAGTATGTGTTCCCAATGATGAAAGTGTAAAAAGGGCCATTCTGAAGGAAGCACACCACTCTCGTTACACGATACATCCTGGGGGTATGAAGATGTACTAGGATTTGAAAAGAACATTTTGGTGGAGCAACATGAAGCGAGACGTGGTACAATATGTAGCTAAATGTCTAACGTGCCAACAAGTGAAGGTCGAACATTAGAACCATGCTGGATTATTACAACCCCTGCCCATACTAGAGTGGAAATGGGAACGCATCGCAATGGATTTTGTCTTTGGGTTACCAAGATCTGGGGCAGGGCATGATAATATCTGGGTCATGGTGGACCGATTGACTAAGATTGCTCACTTCTTATCGGTTCGCATGACCTATACATAGGACAAGTTGACCCAGCTATACATCAGAGAAATTGTGAGACTTCATGGGATTCCTATCAGCATTGTATCAGACAGAGACCCCAAGTTCACTTCTAGGGTTTGGGCCAGTTTACAATCAGCCCTGGGGACCGTGCCTACTTTTAGCACCGCCTTTCATCCCCAAACAGAAGGGTAGTCAAAAAGGACCATCCAAACTTTGGAAGACATGTTGAGAGCATGTGTAATTGATTTTAGGGGAAGCTTGGAAGACCATCTACCCCTGGTAGAGTTTGCTTACAATAATAGCTTTCAAGCCAGCATCCAGATGGCACCTTACGAGGCCTTGTATGGGAGGAAGTGCAGATCGCCCATCTACTGGGCAGAAGTGCAGATCGCCCATCTGTTGGGAAGAAGTAGGCGAAGGAAATTATTAGGGCCTGAAATAGTTTAGCTAACCTCTAAAACAATCTCCTTAATTAGAGAACAGCTCAAGGCAGCCCAAAGTCGGCAAAAGAGTTACACCGATAATCGCAAGAGAGACCTCGAGTTTGAGGTAGGAGATCGGGTCTTCCTGAAGGTATCGCCAACCAAGGGCGTTACGAGATTTGGAACGAAAGGGACATTAAGCCCACAATTATTTGGGTCTTTTGAGATTCTGAAAAGGATTAGGGGCGTGGCATACCGACTTGCCCTGCCACCTGATTTGGCCAACCTCTATAATGACTTCCATGTATCCCTGCTGAAGAAATATCAACCTGACCCGTCCCATGTTTTAGAGTACGAACCAATCGCACTCAGGGAAGACCTAACCTATGTTGAACGACCGATCGAGATATTGGACCAAGAGTGCAAGTATTACGCAATAAGAAAGTTCCTCTAGTCCGAGTACAATGACAATATGACTCAAAGGAAGAATCAACATGGGAATGGGATGATGAAATAAGGGAGAAATACCCCCACCTCCTTGATCAATGATTTTGGGGACAAAATCCTTTTTAAGAGGGGGATTACGTAAGGACCGCAATTCGATTGCACCAGACCACTCGCGGCAGCAAAGAGAGGGAGAAGGGAGTCAAGAAAGACAGAAGCGTACGACCGGCGCTAAGGGCAAAGGTTAGTGCCGTCTAGGCATTTGGACCTAGTGTCGTCCATGTAGCATGGAAGCTATTACCGCGCGTAAGAGTGAAGAATGGTAACGCCGCATGCGAGCGAGGGGTATCATCGCGATCATGAGAGGATTATTGCCTCACGCGAAAGGCGTAAGAAGCATCGCCGCATGTAAAAGAAATTAATGCCGTGCGTGAAACAAGGTATCATCGACAGGAGCATTGCGGCGAGCTTATCGCCGCCTGGATTAAGGACACGACAGAGAGGAGAGGGAGAGAGGCAGGCTATCGCCGCACGGAAGGCGGAAGGCTATCTCTGCGTGGAAGGCAGAGTATCACCACAAGAAGAGGAGGCTATTGCCGAGTGGGTTAAGCGTTGAACAATAGCCGACAGGGTCAGCGCCATGTTGCTTTTGTCAAAATTGCGTCGCACGGCTGATGCCCACTGCAGTTTTCTTCCCCACCTACCTCGACGTCAACCACAATGAGCTTCACCAACTCCCTCACCTACCCCGACGTCTTTAAATAGCGCCCTCTACCCATCGTCGTACGCGTGCCTGCACCATAGCTGTGAGAGTGCTATCGTCGTGAGGAGGCCTCTGGGACGAAGGCAACTGCGTGAAGCTACCATGGGGAGCACCAAGGGCGGCGGGCGAACTGCGTGCTGTGAGCCTGTAAGTGGGTTTAGTGATATGTTTTTCAGCTTAATTGGAAATTAATAGAACATTATCAATGGGAAGAATGAATTGGGGAATGAACGAAATAGGGTAAAATAAATGGTTGAGAATGAATTGAAGTTTTTAAAGAAATCATAGGGCCTTTTTTTGCCACGCTTGCATCCAATGAGATTTAAGTTGATTCATAAGTAAGTAACACGGCGATGGTACATAGAATGTCCAGCAAAAGTTAGGGTTGTTGCTTGGTGCTTTTCACTAGCCAAACGAAGCCCACTTGAGCCCAAATCAGTTTCAACGAAAGACGTATAGGTCTAGTTAAAGTTTGCCTCTTGCACCATGTTATAATATCATGAAAATCAAGAGATATGGCCGCTTATGCGATATATGTCACTGCCACAGTTGCTGTAAAGCAATTGTGAACCTGTTTGGGCCGCATTTTCGACCACGTGAGCGACACCTAAATGCAAATCTGCCACCGATGTAAAGTTTTGTGAATGAACGTAAAGTTGAATGTTTTGAGATTCTCAAAATTCCCTATAATGTTGAGTTATGTTTGAAAATACATAGACACGTCATTACTCATTACTAGTGCTCATTTGAGGCCGCACCCCTATCTTGTGAATAAAGTTTGATTTTCTCAATAAGTGAAGCATCTAACTTTCGTGGTTAGTTACTAAGATGTATTGATCAAGTAATGAGGGTGAATGCCACATGATAATTGCCATGTATATGCCATGGGAATAAGGGATTGATGGCACTTAACAAAGTATAAGGTGAAGAGTAAATGGCGCAATATTAATACAACTGATTCATGATGAAAGCTCCTTGATAATTGTCAAAATGCCATTGATAATGCTCATGTATGAATGTGATGCTATGAATCACGAAATAAATGCCCCGTGATGATTGCCATATTGTTATGATACTACTATGATGAGAATGTTATGTATATGCCATGAGGCAAATAAATTGGCTGGTATAAATGGGATGGAATGACGCCTTAATGATGACCACTACGCATTGGGACCCAAGCCCATTGGTAGTGGGTATTGTATTGTTTTATTAATGAAAATGCTAACCACTATGCATTAGGACCAACGCCCATTAGTAGTGTATATTGTGTTATCATACTGATGATAATGCTGACCACTATGCATTAGGACTTGAGCTCTTTGGTAGTGGATACTGGGCTTAATGATGAGAACACTGGCCGCTACGCGGTGGGACCCGAGCCTATCGGTAGTGGAGCTAGGTTCACCGAGATAGTGATGTTGGTGTATTCCCTAGCCTGCACAATGACAAGAACATGTTAGGGGAGAAAAGAGGATCGCTCCCTATGATTCATAATATGAGATATGAGATCTGATTTGATGCCTTGCAAGGTGATGGCCTGACGAACGCCCAATGCGCACTGGGGACCGTGTGCATAAGTTGAGGGTATTACGACGCAGATTGCCAAGCTTATCATCACCCTCTTTCCTGTGGGATGGTAGAAGCCCTAAGCAATGAGATTGGCTTGGCTTGATGGATAGGACTTCTACTAGCAGGAGTAGGTGAATTAGGGAGTGAGTAT